GAAAATTCCGTATGAGTTCTCGGTTGCTCTTCACTGGTGACCTCAATCTGAATTGGCACCAAGGTTTTAGACGTGCAGCTTCTTTGTACCTGAGAAGGATGTCTGCTTTGATTTTCCTCCTCCAGCAAAGACTCAATGGAAAATCGCCTCTTGGGACATAAACCATTTTGTTGTGGTTCTAGAGTTATGGGAGATAACATTTCATCTCCTAAATTTGGCATGGATTTGGACTTTTGAATCAACTTTTCAAATTCAGAAATGCGGGTGGGGACCATGTCCCTGGGCACCTCCTCCGTGGAGGACTGGCTCCACCCGTGAAGCAGCCGCTTGTGCTGCTGCTCTTTTTCATATTGCATTATTCTCGACTTTACGGAACAAATCACCTCTGAATTCATCAGATCCTTGCGGTTAATGTGGTGCATTTTCTTGTACATTTTTAGGAAGCCTGGGGCGTTGTGGGCCCTGTGTCTGATCCTTGATCTGCCATTGCTGCGAACCTCCTGGATGTAGGGGGAAGCCCACGTGACGGGGCAGCTGTCTTTGGAGTCCTCTTCACATAACAGGGAGCCCATGCTTTCTGACTTGGTTTTTGGGTCAGGTAAGCTATCGCAGTCATCATTGAGGAGATCATCACAGCTACGGGATTTGATTTTGGGGGAAACTGTTTCTTCAGTGCTGCTCCAGATCTCTGCATTTTGCCGGGCCATTTGCCAGCCGTTCTTGAAAGTAATGGCCCTCTGTGAGTCCCGGGGGACGTCCAAATGCTGTCTATAAGTGCTACAGCAATCTACCTCACTGGAAGGGTTGCCGTTGAACCCTGAGTAACTGCAAAGGGACTGACACATTTTGCTATCATCCCCACCTTTTAATCCAGGGCAGCATGGTAGAAGAGAGACATTTGGAGAAGTTAAAAGGCTCACAAAGAGGAGAGCGTGTCAGCAAGCATCAGACAGCACAGCAAAGAGAGAGCAGTTAGTGTGGTCTCATCTAGACACTGATTAACACATGTAGCTTCAACTTCAGAGGAAAAACTTGAATTCTACAGCCAGATAATACTTTTTCAATGAATGTAGCTTTGCAGATATTAGAGTGAACAAAACCATGTACAACAAGTAATTAGTGTAGCTAATATTTCTATTGAATACTTTGTACATTTTTCTGCCAATACGGTATGCCAAAAACACATCAATACCTCTTAAGCTAATTGCACCTAGTAGAATTTAAACATTTAACAATTAATGCCAAAAGTATTCTAGACTTAATCAACTTTTTGTGTCTCATTTGATTTATAATAATCTACATACATAAAGAGTAATTTATAAATTTACATTTAATTAATACTCCCATAACTATATCAAATAATTTTTTTATGAGCATTGGATAGAAAAAAACTATGAGACAAAGTATTTTCCAAAGCTGCAAAATCAAAATGCTGTGAACTACTGTGTTAGTATTTTTACAAGAAAAAAAATAACTAGGGCATCTTTAAATAAACTGATTTACCTCTCTAATTGCTCTATCTTCAACCTCTTATTAGGCACATTGTTTTCATAAAAATAACTGGATAGAATGTAAAACTTCCATCAGAGGTAAATGCATTGTGCCTTTTTCCCAAGGAAGGTTTTTTTTTTTTTTTTTTTTTTTTGCAATTTGATAATAGAGACCTAAATTAGACCTCAATTTGAAATATTTATGAAAATATTCTTTTCTTTTGCTTTGCTGAATTAACTGATAAATGAGAGGCCAAGTTACATCTAACGGGACATTTTCTTCTTAGAGATAAAACCTAGTGGAGGAAAAGATCTCTACTGACAACTCATGCCTTACAATCTCCCTCAAATTTTCCAAAGTAGGCAAGCACATTAAATAGATATGTACTGTTTGGGAAAGGAAGTTGATTAAACACTCCCTACGAATCTAAATTCATCAGAATCCTTTAACTTTTGGGTAGTATCCAGCAATAATAAATCAATGGCATTTTATGACCTACTTGTTACCTTAAGACGTTTGTTTGCATAAATGAGTAGAATCTGCTAAAGGCATATCTGTCAATCGGAGGAAAGGTGTAATGAATGAGGCTCCCTCTGAATCATCCAGTTAATATTTGCAGCTTTCTCAGGCCTATTGCCGACCCAGAGTCCAACCATCAGGACCAGTTTACCTTGTGCATACAAATCAGCTACCACTTAGCTTTTACTACCATGTGACAACACCTTCAGTGTCCAAATTTGCTACGTGTGGCTGCATCTGTCCTATTTTACGGAGACTTCTGTTAGAGCTCATTTTCTTCATGCATTTCAAACTCCTTCTCTCTTCTGTTCCAACCTCAAGAGATTGGAGGAGATTAGGGGCCCCAGACTTGGTACAGCCCTAGGTTCCTTTGGATACCAGTTCGGTCCTCACTCTCCATCTCAGAAATGTCCTGTCCCCAAGGCAGTGCGGCACTAAATGGTCTTCCAGAGACCTGAAGGAGTGACTTACTCCTTTTCAACACTCAGCTCACTAATTGGAGCCATCTGGAAAAATGGCTTGGTGATTTCTAAATTTTATAATTATGGTTTGAAACCAGTTAGTTCTTACCATGAACTGTGTTAATTGCCTACCATGTTGCATGGCAGGAAGTGGATACTCTATTGTATATACGAAGGTTGTCCAAAATATAGGGCAAATGATCAAAGAATTTAATTGGTTAGGCATTATTATTTATTTAGAATTATTTATCTAGAATTAAATAATTAAAAAAAGAAAACTAATGTATGTTTTAGACAATAATTCCCTCTTGCTGCTTGTAATTCCTATTCTATAAATTTGATAAATTTGCTAGCTGTAGTAACATTAGAAAATTTTGACTATATGTAAATGTTTATAAATGTCACCTTTTTATAGCCTGACAATAAATTATTTGATATTTTGAATTCATTAAAGAACAAACAAACAAATGATTTATTTTGTGGGGAAAAAGGCATTAACAGATGCTGGTCAGAGTCTTTGAAGCCACTCAAGAGGCTTGATAGCCTGAATCAGTCTGGGTAGGAAGAAAGCTATCACTGTGGAATTATGTTTTATTCAAGACACTGTAGGTAAAAGCTAGTGCTTATCACTACCACCGAACCAGCTCTCACGGGGTACTCTAGGATACCATAGCAACTTAAACTAGCAAATTGTCTGCATATCCGTTATTATTACTCACCTTTTGCTCTCGATGGGGAAGAAGGGGAGGAACTAATGAAAGACTTTGCAAGGGTGGTGCTTGATCCTGGGAGGTCTGCTCGGCCTGGGCTAGTCCTGCTTACACTTTGATCCCCCAAACTCCTGGGCGGACCCACTGCAGGCTCACTCTTCCTCCGCTTCCTAAAGTCACTGGCCATGCTTGCAGAACTGAAAGAAGGAATCAGCATTGGTTTGTTTGGTATTGGAAGAGGTTAACATGTGCGCCAGAAAGCCTGGTGGAATGCGCTAGTGACAATGGTATACCTCCTAACCCCCCACCCCAAACTGCATTGGTGGGGAGTCGTTCCTTGACATTAAACATGATTTCTTTATAATCATCTTTTAAGAAAATTAATAGACTATTTTTAGAGCAGTTTTAAAAGACTATTTTTAGAGCAGTTTTAGTTTACAGAAAAATTAAATGGGAAATATGGAGAGTTCTCTTGTACTTCCTTTCTTCTTACAACAATTTCCCCTATTATTTACATCTTCTACTAGGATGGATCATTTGTTACAATCGGTGAGCCCACTTTGACAATCATTCTCTCCCAAAGTCCATAGTTTACATTAGGGTTCATGCTTGGTGTTGCACATTCTGTGGGTTTTGAGGTCATTGCTGTATCACATAGAACAGTTTCAATGCCATAAAAACCTCTGTCCTCCACCTGTCACCCTCCCTTCCTCCCCTTAAACACCTGGCCACCACTGATCTTTTTACTGTCCAGCCTTTTCCAGAATGTCATGGTTGGAATCCTACAGTATGTAGGTGTTTCCGATTGGCTTCTTTCACTTCGCAGTTTGCTTTTAAGTTTTCTCTATGTCTTTTCACGGTTTGATAGCTCATTTCTTTTTATTGCTAAATAACATTCCACTATAGGGATAGACCACAGTTTGTTTATCCATTCACCTGTTGAAGGACATCTTGCTTGCTTCCAAGTTTTAGCGATTATGAATAAAGCTGTTATGTATTCATGACATTTTGTGTCGATATGTACATTTACCATCATCTTTTAAAGTTAAAGTTCTCCTATTCGTGTACTATGGTGTGGCTGACAATTCAGTGTTACAATTTGTTTCTTTTCTCTATAAAGGAACTTCCAATAACATGAATATATCTGGGGCTGGGGATGTAGCACCAACATGGAGGAAAGGGCTGAAGGCAAATTTCTCTCACCTCAATGCTTGCCTACAGCTTTTCCTAATCTCAGCTCTGAAAAACTTTACACCGGAATCACAACATTTTCTATTTAAATAATGAATGATCAATAATCTGGTTGACAAATAAATTATTAGATTCCTTTCATTCAGTTGTATAAAATGGGGTCAACGGTCTAGAATGGCAGGGAGTTTTTAAATCTTGGTTTTGAGTCTGAGTATAGGATTAATTAAGATGAACTCTAGTAAATGAAAGGACACAACACACTGTCTGTCAAATTACTGGATAAGATTATGGAAACAACAGTGACAGGAGCAACAGCAACAGCACCAGCTCCTATGAGCCCAGCAGGGTGCGATGTGCTATATTTACATTATTGTCTTGTGTACCCTGCACAGCAAACCAATGAGGTGTGTGCTGCTATCACAGTTTTACAAGTGAGTAAATGGAACACACATACCTGGGAAGCACAGGACTGGAGGATGCCCTGTCTCCTAGACTTGTTTTTGTTGTGACTATCCTGTCAACATGAGGGTCTGTGTGTCTTTACAGAGAGCCTTGAGGTCAGATAAAAACTCTAAAATTCAAACCTTTTATGTGCATTTAAAGATTTAAAAGATAATAAAGGAGGAGCTCAGAGCGCTCCTTTCTTAGCGATATTAGTGTAGTTGGACGGCACTCATGAACCCAGTTTATGAAGGACTCAATTCACAAAACTTTCTACTTATGTTGATAGAAATCTATAGAAAGGAAAATTAATGTCATATGAATATTTGTTGTTGATGATATAATATTTCTGGGAGTTTGTATTGTTCAACAGTACTGTTGAACTATGTCCAAATTTTGGTAATAGTTTAAATAAATTCTAAATAAATTTTGGTGATATTTTAAAGTAAGCGTTATATTTAAAGCTTACTAACAGAATTTACCTTGGGCAGACTCTTAGGGGATTAGACTTAGTGGTTACAGGCTATTTTGGTTTAATTTTGTTTTGTCTCTGTTCCTTGTCAACTGTGTAAACTTGGTAAGTTATTGAGCCTAAGTGTCAGTTTCCTCAGAGATAAAATGAAGACAATAGTATTTAACTCACAGTGTTGTCAAGGATGGAATATGTACTTAGAATACCTGGTATGCACAGTGGGGCGTTGGACTTGCAGAGAGATAGAACATACCTAGGGATACAAAGTGCATTGGGGAAAGGGGTATGGGGAAGGGGGTAGAGGATAATGGGGGCATAATTGGGTGGGGGACAGGGGGTATAATCACAATTTGTGGTAATGGGCATGCTGCCAGTATGGATCCAGCCATCACATCTTAGGCATGAGTGGTGACAATTTGCTCTGTACTCCATGAATATTCATGACCAAAAAAGAATGCTTGGTATGTAGTAAGCTTTCATTCATTGGTAGTAATAGCATTTCTGATTTGTGTGGTCAGAGTATAATGAACAAATATGTGTACAACACTTTATAATTGACAATTTTTTCCAAATATATTATCAAAATGGTTACTTAACAACATTGAAAATTATTTATTTATAAACCCCACCTAAAGAAAAGAAAACTGGGTGTAGTGGAGACAGGGAAGGGAAGAATACCTCAGTCTGTAAAATAATCCAGAATTATTTTGCTTAATTTTTATAAATTCTTGTAGTTGACTAAATAAAATGAAGGAACAAAATAAAACAACTTTATGAGGCATGGTACTTAGAATAAAAATGAGTTATACATAATCCTCATTACTATTTTGTTGAATAATATTACTACTGAAAAATAAACCACTGGTATAGAATATTCTGGTTGCATAATATAATGAGATTCTTACCTACTGGGTCTTTCCAGGCTTCTGTCTATAGAGGACTGATACAAGGAGGCCTGTTAAGATAGATCAACAGTTCCATGAAAATTTTTGTCATGGCAAAATTTCATTGGTCTGTCTTCATTAAATTAGATATTCTAAAAAAAATTATAAAAATTGAGATCAAAAGTACCATTTATTATAATTACAAAAATGTCTTCCCAAAGAGAAATCATGCAACCTGATCTTGTTCCTGTCTACCTTCTCTTCTGATATACATTTCTGTATTACATTTCTCTGTGTAACTCAAATTATCTACAAATATTGCATGGGGGAAGAGAAATGAATAATATTTCCTCACAAATACTGAATAAAGAGCTAAAGTTATTCTACAGCTTTAACTTCAGAATCTTGCCTATTGACTGTAAATTGAAATTTTCTACATAAAGAAATGGTTTGATGTTTAGAAAAATATTTACAGTCATCATCCAATCCTCATAAAACATAGCCTTCCTTACAATTTTTCTCTCATTGTTGCCAGGTGTTATCTTTAAAACATAAAATATAAGCAGACCTTGAGATATCCTTCATCTGTCAACATAGACATGATATTTCAGTAAAACCCACATAATTTGATTTGAAGTTAAACTAAACTACATGGTACTTCAATCAGGTATAGATATCTTTCCAATTAAGTGAGTTCAGGGTAAGATTAAAATAAATGATCTAATAAATCAAAATATAACCTTTTTTTTTAAAAAAAAAATTGG